CAGACCTCTCTGATCCGCCTGCTGCTCCCCTCAGCAGTGTACTTCGTCAGTCGGCCTGTTCTGCTCCCCACTCTGTCTCTGGTGAATCCTCTCACTGCCCCCTGCACCTCTGGCCTGCACCCCAGTTCTGTATGCATAATGAGATAAGTCTTAAAAAAAAAAAAAAAAGAATGGGATTCCATAGCACCCCTGAGCAAGAGGAACAGGCAGGCAAAGTGAAACTGTCATTGTCTGCCTTGATCTTGGAGTCGGGAAGGGCATTCAAGTAGGCAAGAAGGATGAGCTAAATGTGTGCTGGGCAGTTACAATAACAAACTGCTGTGGGGTGTTCTAAACACTTCACACAGATGAGTCCACCCAGAGAAGCAAAGCGAACTTCAGAGACTGTGAGGAACACAGATCGGGGGTGAAAGAACCAGGATTCTCACTGTGTCACCAACTCCAAGGGCTGCCTCCTCACTGCACAGCACACCGGCCCAGCAGGCCTTCCACCAGGCAGTCTCTAAAGTCTAGCACATTAAAGGTCTGAGTGGCGCTCCTGTCCCTCTGAAGTGCAAATGTGACATTTTCCCTGGCTGCAGTCACCATGTGGGTGAGAAGAGCTGAGAGGCATCCACAGGTGACAAGAATTGCTCCCTGTCTCATCAAGGCAGTGGCAGGTGGGTAGTGATCCGGGTGAGGGCTGGACCCCGAGGGGCCACTTTCCAGCCAAGAGCCAGTGACCCTCAGCCAGCAAGCCGCTTCATGATCACAGGCATCAGGAAATACAGGCAAATCAGGGGTGAGTGACTGAAGAGTCCAGTTCCAGGCAGGCAGGATTAAAACTGAGCAGGGTTTCTAAATAGAGAAGAATGTTTGACAGGCCTCTCATTGGTTATTTTCAAATGAGAAATCTGAGGCCCAAATAGGGTGGAATAATTTGTCCAGGATCCAACAAGTGTATGTAGAATGTGAGAGATGAAATGAGAGCTTTTATCCAGGTAGCTGCAAACAGCTTGTGTGTGAGTGTGCAGGGGGGTGTTGGGGGAGGGGGTGTTCCAATGAAACCTTCTTTGTCTCACCATCACCAAAAAGCATCCCAAGCACTTCATATGCACTTCTGCTGTCATTCAGTTACAATGTTGAATTTATACACTGGGCATGGTCTCCCCATCACTGGGGGCAAGTCTCAATAGCCAGATCACCTGCCTTCCCCCCCCCATACAGCTCACAAATCATGCCAGGTCCACTCACTCGTTGAGTGACCTATGACATATCAGGTGACCTCTCCAGTACCCATGGTCCTCTGGTATAAAGTGAGAGAAGCAACAACTCCCACCTCATGGTGTTACTGGGATAAAAAGTTTTAAATGCAAATACGCTGTGAGCCAGGCAGATTCCACAGGGGGTATTCCGCAGGGGGTAAGGCACAGTTACTGCTTGTTTTCTAGTTCCTAAATTTGGTGAATCAATTTATCCCTCCCTGGGGAGACTCAGAGTCAATATCATAATAGAGAACAAACAGCAAGTCATTGGCATGACAGAATCTTGTGCTCCGGAAGGATTTGTGTCCCCAGAAGGGGTAAGAAGACACAGAACTGAAGCCCTGAGGGAAACACACCAGAAGTAGGAGAGCCTTTGTCTTGGGAAACTCCATGTGGGCTCCTCCGGATTTAAATAAGAAAGGTACCATTTTCATTAGCTTCTTTAGACACACCTAAATAATTTAAAGCAGTTTGCTTTAGGTTATATAGCTGCTATATAGCAAAGCAAGGAGTAAAGATCAAAGTCAAATGGCTGCAAGCCCTTCCTGGTGGCACAAGTTAAAGCACAGCACTCACTGTGAAGCCACTGCAGCACAAGTTCAACCCCCGGAGAGGGAGCTGACCCATGTGGCACGGCAGAACTCTCCTGTCTCACCCGCTGCTCCCCTCAGCAGTGCACTTAGTCAATCTGTCTGTTCTGCTCCCCACTCTCTACGGTGCATCCTTCGACCCTCCACACTTCTGGCCTGTACCCAGTTCTCTTATGCATAAATAAATAAATCTTTAAAAAAAAAAAAAGTCAGTGGCTCCAAAAGCATGTTCTACACCAAGGAGCTAGTGTGAGATTTAACTAAGCTTGTCCATGGGAGTTCTCAGCACAACACCAACAAGGCATCCTATTAACATGGGCCTCGTCATACATTCCACAGCGCCCTCTTCCGCTGTTCCCAGCACAGAAAAATGGTGGCACTGATGCTTTGCAGGAAGAGGTGGAGCCGTCCAACCCTGGAGCAGGTTCAGGAAGCAGGGAGCGATAGCTGACTGTGGCTGCTCTCACTGCTGTCTGCATAACCGGAGTGTGAATGCCCAGCAGCTGGCCCAGGTAAAGCAAAAACTAGATTCAAGATGGTCAGTGGCAAAGATTAACCCTAAGCTAACCATATTTCTAATCCCCCTGTCTCCCTGATTAATAACATGGTCAAGGAGTCAGGAGGTTTTGGCAGTGGTAGCAGCAACAACAATGAAAATGCCAGAGTGAAAGCAGCTGGCACCGGGAGGCTGTGTGCCAGCCTCGAGGCCTGCAGAGACCACAGCAATGGCTGCAGTGCAAGCTGGTGGCCACTCCAGGGCTGTGCCCTGCCTGGGAAGGGTCCAGGGCAGATGGGGTTCTTGTAATTAACACCGGGGCAGAATCAGCCATCATGCTTTCATTTCCATCAGACCCTGATCTGTTCCCAGGCTGGGACCTCCGGAAGTACCTGTTAGAGCAGAAGTATTTGGCAAGCCAAGCCAACATGGGCTCACCCAGTCCACCTGTACAGGGATTTAATGCTTAACAACCTGTGAAACGTTCCTAATTGTCATCATTCATTTGGCAGCTCTTCGCCAGTAGGTGCTAAACAAGCGCCATATAGCAAAAGCCCTTTTTCTGCTACAGTTTTTTTCCTCTTTAATTAAGGCTGAGTTAAGTTATTAGAAAAACTTGCCATGTTACTTCCCTTAGTAAACCATTTTTGTTTGGTTTTTCAGTTTCTTTTGGCCTCTCCATCCACTATTGCTCTGAACATCTTTCTTCTTCAGCATAGCCACTGCTTCCCCATCACATCATTTCAACTAGTTATTTTTCTCATTTTCTCCTCCAGCTGGCAGTGGTTTGGTCCTCTCCACCTCATCTTTCTTTAAAATGTCACATGGTGGCTCTAGCTTATTTGAGCACTCTGGAAGGCACAAGAAAGGCAGCCATGGCAGGACACCCCACTTCCCTCAGAACAGTCTCCCTCCTGTCTTTCCATGCAGCACAGCCAAGGGGATCAGAATGCAGGGGGCGAATAACAGCTTAATGTTATTGCAAAGAAAAACGTGAAGCAACTCTACTTCTGCTACTTAAAAAACAAAACCGTGACAGATGTCATATGACAGAAAATTCACTCTCTGAGAGGGAACAAAGCAAAAACATTTAAGGACAGAGTCCCTATCTCAAGTTCTTGTTGTCTCTCCCTACGGACAGCTAATATCACAGGCCAGCTCCGCAGTTAGGGCTTCCAAAAATAAGATACTTTGAAAATAAAGAGCTTCTCATTCTGTTTCTGCATCTGTCACTCCTGAAAATTCTGTGATTCAAAGTTTCAGGCTAAAACATAAGGGTGTAGAAAAACGAGTGACCAAAAACTTTACTATAAACTGGTGAACGTTTTCTTTTGTTTGAACTCCACCACCTCGTCCTCAGAATAACTTTGAGGAAGAGAGACACAGAGAATCTGTTATACAAATATAAGCAATTCGTTTATTTATAACCCAGAGCTCACATGCAAATGTCTCCAGAAATCATAGCACAGATACCAGGAAGCTTCTAATTGCTCCTTTTACACAGCATATAAATTAAATATCACAATTCTCAGTTTGGTGCAGGAAAGAAATTAAAGCACCCAATAGCCAGAATAATTCACTCACTGTGACAGAAAGTTAAACTGTTAAATAAGAACAAACTAAATTTGGTCCAGATAATTCTCAAATCCTCACCCTCCCCAAAAAAAATTGTATTTATTTTTAAGAGGAAGGCCATGAAAACATAATGTTCCCCTTTGTGTTCAAGAACTAATTTTTATTGTTAATTAAATACCAAAATGCCAAATGACTTAGGCAAAAGGAGATTTTTATCAGGAGGGCCCTAGAGCATACTTTTTCATATCTAAATGAAGTGAGGCCTGAGTTTGTTTTTTTTTTTAAGACTTATTTATTTATGCATACAGAACTGGGATACAGGCCAGAGGCTCAGGGGCGGTGAGAGGCTTCACCAGAGACAGAGTGGGGAACAGAACAGGCAGATCAATGAAGTACACTGCTGAGGGGAGCAGCGGGTGGTCAGGAGAGGTCAGCCATGCCATGCAGTCACCTCCAGGACTGTGGGATTGAACTCCTGCTGCAGTGGCTTTAGATTATTAGAGCTGTGCTAAACCCGCTGCACCACCAGGGAGCGCCCGAGCCCTGAGTTTTAAAAAGCTCAACCCCCACGTATCCTATGGGTTCTATCATCAGAGGATGCTCCTCCACTTCTGAGTTTGCCACCAGATGGGCCTGCCTTGCTCGGTGGGAATACTCCCAGAGGGGCACACTTACCTAATGGACAAAAGGGTATATGGTTGGCATTTCCCTGGTACTGCTTTTCAAAAGCAGAGGGGGGTACAAACAGCTGATGGGCAAACTAAGAATAGTCAAAGTAAGACAGCACAGATTCTCAAAGTTCAAGTAATGCCAGCGAGTTAAGGTGGATCAAGGTAGAAAGCAGGAAGCTGGCATGAAGACTGCCCTCAATATTTTTTCTAGCTTAACTTCCAGCCAGAACAATGAATAAGTAACTTTAAAACTCAATTACAACAATTTTTTTTTTCCTCTGAGGTGTTTACTGTCTCTTCCCCATGGAGCCTGAGTTTTCCATCTAAAAACCACCCCTAAAAGCTTATAGAAGCATTCGTAATGGCACGTCAGGATTGTGTTAGAGTAGTCTGGGTTATTTTTAGTGTTCAAGTCTTCTGCATTTCATTTTTCCACCTTCACAGCATTATCTTCCAAGCTTTGAGATTCTGGGGCAATTTCCAGATCACCAGCCTTTTTCAATTGCTGCATTTTCATGTTTAAATCCAGCGAAGATCTGGCTAGCTGACGATTTTGAAAACGCATTTCCAGCTAAAAGTTAAGAGGGAAAAATAAGGATCTTTATTAGTCTAAGATACGGATCAAATGAAACTGCTCTTTGCACACGTAAAAGAAAGGCTTGGTAGGAAGGGAAAAGAAGATATCAGGAAAGTGTATTTCTCATCTTATTCTCCAGTTTTGACTATTTGGCCTGGTCATAAAACAGATTTCTATACAAGGTAAAATCCAGATATACAAATTGCTTTGGAAATGGCCTTGAAATAAAAACAAAGCTAACTGATGCACAGCGGTGTTCAGATGAAAAATTCCTGGGCATGAAGAATGTTTCCAAACAATCCATGTGATCTGGGATGAAATCATGGATCTTTATGAGCTTTTTGAGCTGCAGAATAACTGCCCAAGGCCTCCCAAGCTTCTAGGACCTGGCCATTCACATGATTACATGTCATTTCACGTTTTTAAGATGTTAAATGGTTTCCCTGTCGAGCAAAAACACTGAATGATACCTTAGAGGCACATGTACAGTTATGTGTACTTACATAATCTAACAATTTTCACTCTGGAGTGAAATTTGTTATATAGCAATACTGATTTATAATGTCCTGCAATGGTATTAAAAGCTGGATTTCAAGGGCAGTTTACCTAAGAGGCAACCTAGTCTTTATATTAAAGTTGAAAACAAATGGTCAAATTTTGCCATTTTCTTCAATTAATGTCATATTTAACGCAGACCATAAGAACGCTGTTCTTGTTGTTTAAAATCCTTCATAAGCTCTCCAACAGAAACCACCATGGTAGAACCTGGGGGCTCTATTGATAAAAAAAAATATTGGGGGCCCTCCCTGGTGGCACAGCGGGTTAGGACGCAGCACTACAAGCTAGCAACAGCTGCCTCAGTGTGAGATCCCGGGCCCCAGAGGTAATCCAAATGGCACGGCAGACCTCTCCTAATCAGCCCGTTGCTCCCCACTGCTGCCTGTTCTCCCCACACTGTCTCTGGTGAACCCTCTCAACACCCCTGAACCTCTGGCCTGTACCGCAGCTCCATATGCATAAATAAATAATTTTTTTTTAAAATGACTGTTCAGCTGCATTAAATATATATCGGGGTTCCACTCCCAATTTGCAAAATAAAGTCATTGGATAAAATTTTCTTCCCCTTTTCCTTTGATGCATTTTTCTTCACTCTTCAGCCCCTGGAACCATTTCTCTGAAAACAAGAATCAGTAAAGGGTACAGTAAGTAGACACTTAGCAAACTTTAACCATCACTGTGTAACAGCACAAAAAGTCCTTACACCTTGCCTCTAGGAAGTTTTAGTTCTCCAGATAGTCTATATCCCTGCCTACTTTTCCAGCTTTGTTTCCTGGCACTCCCCCCCCACACCATCACCTGCTATCGTGGTCAGAAACCTTGCCTGCCCTCACAAAACACACTATGAGGAGATTCACCCCTTTGTGCCCCTAGGCCCAAAAAGTCCTTTCCCACCTCTTTTCATACTGCATCCCATCAAATGCCAAGACTTGTATAAAAGCCTTCCCTGTGGTCAGTAGCTGTGCTTCCACAGCATTCTAGACACGTGCTACTCACAGCACACACACTCCACTAGGCTGTTGACTGAGGGCACAGTGCTTCATATTCATGATTGTGTCCCCAACTTGGGAGCACTTCCAGGGCACAGAACGTGGTGTGTACTCTATGCTGGGTTAAAAGACAACTGAATGAATGCATAAATGGATGAGTTGATGAATATTCACCATGTACTTTCAGATTAAGAACCAAGGAGTAAAACTGTTAAAATTTGCCGTCCGAGAAAAAGTAAGTATAATTCACACTTATTGTAGGAATTCTCAGATCCATGGTTCTTTGCTTTTGTTTTATCATGAATCCCTTGGAGAATGTGATGAAAACTATGAACCCTCTCTGAGGAACAGTGCATTTTATGCACCTGCAAAATTCCTTGTCTAATGTAAGTACATAGAACCTCTGAAATTCACTCATAAACCCTAGCAATCAATGTGAGACAGTTCAAACAAAAACTAACAGCATATCATATATAGCAACATGTCTCCACATTTAATTGAAGCCATCCATCATTATTCTTTATGCAAATCCCACCCCAGAACATGACACAGGGTGAGTGTGTGCTAATTCCTATAGAAACCTGGCTAACGGCCCTTTTGTCAGAAACAACATCTTCCAATGCCAATGTCAGCCTGAAGCACCCCTGTTCTTTAGCCTTTCTCATGATTGGACATGCACATTGATGAGCTGACTAGTCAATATGTTGAAGGTAATCTAAGGTCCAGTAACATAGTATCTAAGTGTATGTGAAGTTCTCTGCTCTGAGTACCTCATTTATTTTGGTACAATTAGACTCCCAAATAATTACATTATTTTAATAATAAGAGCCACTGAACAATGCCTATGTTCTAGACACTTTATATAACATTTCATCACCCTCATAGCAACCCTACTATCTCCATTTTACAAGTAGGTAAACTGAAACTCACACTTGCCAATAAACAGCCCCAGTGTCATGAGGCAAGGTGGTAAGCAGCGCTTGTAATGATAATGTTAGGATTTATAGCTGCCGCGCCAGCACGACAGCAGAGATGGTCTGAGCGAAGGACGTCAGGATTAAAGCACACACTCCTTGGTCAGCAAGCAAAGGCACACTTTATTTTTCTCTCCTTCCCTATTTATCCCCTTCAGCCTGGAGCTTGGGGCTGGGGGTAGGCGGAAGCTCTCAGCAAGTGCATCAATAACATGCGACAATAACATGGGGGTCAAAGAACACAAGGTAGCAAACACAAGGCAGGAACACTTCCTGCCTCCTGTTTTTCTGTTCCAGCACCCATGGCTCATTCTTTGTTTCCACACAACAGTGTGCATATAATTCTGTGGGGGGAGGTGGGGAGGTCTGTCCAGGCAAAGGACCCAACAATAGCCTTCTCTCTTTGAAAGCTTTTGTTCATCATCTCCTCTCCTCCTCACACCTCTACATACATTACTTGCCTGGAACGCCTCCTAGTGGTGGGGCAACTAATTAAATGTTAAGATTGGAAGGGGTTTCAAAGCTTAATATCATCTCTTCCCTTGGTTTAAACACAAGTCCAATGAGGTGCAGAGATGAGTGATAATATCCAGGATCAGAAGTGCAGAGATGGCTGAGCCAGGGCAGAAAAACTCCAGTTTTCACTGCTGGCCCACAGTGTACCCTTTCGCTGGGTATCCTAATAAGGTGTTTCTCTTATCAGACTAAGTGCAGGAAGAAATCCAGCTGTTTCTTCAACGTGGTTGGACCAAAGATAATTCATCTCCTGTTAAATTCAAATTATTAACATGGATAAAATTATATATGTGATGGTTTTACTCAGAAGTAAGATAAATATTCTGTAAACGTTCTTAAATCAGACAATTAACTGAGGTCGAAATCTGTTCTAACATAGTGGCTAATGCTTTGTTAGCATTCAATACAAAAGAACAGTATCTCCCAAGTCAAGTTTACACTATTGGCATCATAGACACCACCGTTTTAAAATCTGAATGGCTTTCACTTGTTTTGTCTTTTTCGATATTTGTTTCATTTGGAATCTATTTAAATTTATATTTATTTAATTTAAATTAAACAGTTAAGTTTACAGTGGCGTAAACTAAAATGTTCTAAGATAGTTATTTGGAAGATAAAAAATCTAAACTAGTCCAATTGTAACTTAAACATTAATAAAGTACATCCCCTCCTATTTAACATTCAAACTTAGCCTGCCTGATGTTTAAAAGCTACAATTTTATAAAACATCTTATTTTCAGTTTTCTGAATTCTTACCAAGGTGCTAAAACTTGCAGAAAGACTTGGCTAACAGAACCCCTCAATCCTAGGCGCGTATTTCGTAGAACTCTCCTCCTGCCTCCGCCCCCCACCCGGACCTCTACCCCCAAGTTCCTTGAAAAGAACTTTCTACCAGGTAGAAATACATAGAACAAGTTGGGCAGGAGTTACTGGACTAGTGGGAAGTGTCACTGAGCCCCTGTCCTGGGTGCTAGCACCCCGGATCCCGAGGACACCAGGCTGTGGGTAGGGATGCGTGGCCAGCCGCACTTGTCCGGCTGCGAGCTGGAGGTCGGGGGAGATCGACGGCCAGTGCCCTGCTCCCTCTCGCTGCACGCTTCTCCTTCTCCCTCTTGGGTTCAACTACTCTTGGCTTCCCTCTCGCTAGCCTCGGGCAGCGCTGGCGATTCCAGCGCCCCTGGAGCTGCCGAGGCCAGCGCGGACCCGCGAGCACGCCGCCCTGCGCACGCGCTCACCAGCTCCGCGCGTAGCCGGGTCAGAGCGTTCTCCGAGCGCGCGCGCTTCTGCTCCTGCTGCGCCGACGCCGCCTCCCGGGAGCGCCCGGAGCTGCGGAGCGACACCGCGAGCTGCAAGGCGCGCACCAGCCGCCGCCTGACGTCTTCCAGCAGCGGGCTGGCGACGGCAGCCTCCTCCTGGCCGTCCACGGTCCTGTCACGACCAGGGAAACCGCGCACAGAACGCGTTGCGGCGGGCCACAGTCCTCCTCTGCCTGGCGGTCCGGGGAGCGCCCGGGAAGTTTCCTCTTGCGCCATCCTGAGTCCCCGAGGCCCATCTCGGAGGGCCACGTCGAGTGGCAACTCCGGCGTGCTGCTCGCTAGCTGGTTCATCTCCACATGCGAGCGTCGGGACGCAGCAGGACCGGGGGCGGGGGGGGGGGGGGGGGGGGAAGCACCCAATGGGCAGGACCCCAGCCAGTGGGACTCCACTGTTGCTCAGCCACCCAGAGGTGTTCACTGCTCTCATCACTGTCCTTCTGTCCCTCTCTAGCAACAAAGGAGGTGGTGTCCATACCACTGGAAGTCCGAGGTGAGGTTTCAACTGATACATTTTTTCTTGCTTGTTCAAGTGTCTTTCCCATGGGAAGTCTTGAGTCCATCCAAGTAGGTGGAATTTGAGGTGTTGATGGAAGATTTGAGACGAAAAGGCAGACTATTTTGTTATCAAACTTCCCCGGCTGTCTCAATTATTTAATACTTTGTCCCTTTAAATTTTTTTTTCTGATGTTGTAGTTTCTGCCAGTCTTTGTCAGGTATTGCCCGTTGTTGACCACAGTTAGTTAGAAAATGCAGAAAGAACTGGAGATTCTGGAACTCCATGTCACTTTCACATTTCGGAAGGGGTTAAAGTGAAAAATAAATCCAGTTGCTGCAAAATGCGTTTTAATTCCTATTGAAGTATCATCATGTGACTATTACTTGTGTATCCTATGAAGGGACATAATCAACCGCCTCTTTCCACCTAATAGAGAATTTCTAAAAAGGAGTAGAGTCAAAACTTACTTGTGACCATGAATACACTCTCAGAGGACAAAGATGGTCATAGATTTTAGAGTTATTAATCTATTAAGTAAAGACTTACAATTCACCTTCAATTTTCCAGATCCATGGTGCCCATTAGGCAGTAAGGATTACTTTTTATTAGTGCTTACTGAAGTACCAGCACTTGTTAATACTGTGTACCAATAATACTCTTGGTTTCTGTATTTTGCAGATGAGGCAAAAAAATCACAGACTGGTAAGTGTTCTGCTGGGGATTCGTACCTAAGACATCTGTCTTGTCCTCTGAACTACTGGGACATATCCTGGAAACATACTGTCTCCTAAAGAAGAAAATGGAGCTCTCCTTTTATATGTTGCATGAGTGAAATCCAAACTCGCTACACTCCTAAGATTCTGAGTTGAGATGACCTGAAGATCCACTCAATAAGGAGGAAGACAAGGTAGCAGACTGCTGCAGATAATTTGCTATATTGCACTGAGACAGTAGGAAAATCTGTCTTTGCAAGGGGTTGAGAGATGGGGAGCTGGGGGAAGGAGTTTAATAGTCAGAGGACATGGGGTTTTTTAGGAAGAGAAGCTATTTTGTATAAACTACAATAGTGGATACACTTCATTATATAGTTCTGCAAACTCAGAATATACAGTGCCAGGACTGAACTCTGAGATAAACTATGGACTTTGGATAATAATGTTATGTCCATATAGATTCATCCCTTGTAATAAATGTGCTGCTCTGGTGCAGAATGTTGTTAGTGGGGGAGATTCATAAAGGAGAGAAAGGCGTGAAGACAATTAACAAAGCAACTCTTAGACACTAGATAACATAGTCATATTGACACCAACACAGATGAAGATATTGAATATTTATGCATACATTAACATATATATAGATACTGATAGACATAGGCATATAATGTAAATAATCTTGACAAAATCCTATGCTGTTTATTTTGGGTTTTAGGTGAAAAATTGGAGTTCCAAAAGATTAGAGATTTACCTAAGGTCATATAGTAAGTAAAGTAGGAAATACCAAAAGCAGGATTTGATTCCAGATCTGCAGGGCTCCCAGCATTTTGCTCTTTCCCTATTCCATGTCAGGAAATATGCAGTTGCACGATCACTAAAAATCTGCTAAAGGAGATTAAAACTTGGATTTCCTTTAGTCCAGTTACCTAGACCAGTTCTTCCCGAGTGCCAGTCTCACACTGGTGAGGCCCCTTCTCAGTCCATTTGAATCCTAGAAGGAGATTGGGTGCATGGACCCTATTCCTCATGCCTGCAGAACAGTAGCAAAAGTGTGGTAATCTCTATGCAAAAATCTAATCTCTTCACATAAATTCACCAGTTAATATCTACTACTTCTTTTATGTGTCCTCTAGCTGTACCTCCGGAGCCACTGATCCAATTCTACAGCCTTGCTTCCTCTTCAACCATCTACCTGAACAACTGAATAATTGTTCAAGGGTTAGACTCTGTTCCCATTGAATGTAGAATGTTCCTGAGTCTTCTATGCAAAAAAGAAACAAATAGTTCTCTAAGCTTCAAAGAAAGGACATCATGCTTATAACTTTGAAAGTAAATATTTGAAAGCTTTCAGTGAACAGCTTAAGAGGTTGAGAGACATTTCAGAATCTAAAGGGAATGTGCTGATTTCATTTTCTAGCTAACTAATGATGAGAACATTTCCTTATGGTAGATAAATGAAAACATTCAGAAATGCACTGATACAAATAAACACTTCATAAATGTTATTCCTGCTTCCCACAAAAGGGATGTGTGGGGGTTCTTGCCATAAGAACATGGCAAGAATATCACATTGCCTCAATGGACATCACAATGCTCTCTCTCTAAAATAAAGATAAAGAGAATTGGTATTAAAATTGCAAGGGATTGAGTCAGGTCTGACCTAAGGCATTGAGGCCAGGCTCCACAAGCACATTCCAGTGGATAGGATGACCAATTTAAATTGTGACCCAACGGAGCCAGTATAATCATCTCAATCTTATGTTCTAAGTTCATACGGTGAGGTGTATTTTCATTTGAAATACTCTCTGCCTCTTGCAGTGGAAACAATATTTCTCCATTCCTCTGGCCTCAGTCTTGTCCAAAGGTTTGCTTAAGCCAGAAAGAACAAAGGGTGAGTCCCAGCAAAATCCTTAGGTGTGGTCACACAATTCCCCCCTTTCTCTCTTTCAGCAGAACCTCAGAGCAGGCACTTCTTTTATCCTGGGTCCTAGAATGAAAATATGGAACTGAGGGTAAACTAGCCTGTCATGCATATATAGTTTGAGTGAGAAATAAGTATGTATCATAATCCTTGGAGAACAGTGTGTTCTCTTGAAAACGCTGATATTTGAGACACCTTCTGGTTTATTTCCCTTTCCTGAAAGTAGAGAGTGCAAAAGTAAGCATCCAGTGGATATAGAGTTCTGGTAAAGAGAAGTTTGACTAATTCATTTCTTTAAAGAGATGGAGAGAAGTTTCTTTGCCCCAAACATGAAAATTCTAGTTGTTGAAAGATACAAAATATTTCTAATAACTGTCCGAATACATTTACTCTTTCATAAAATGATTTGAGATGAATTATGAAAGTTGGGTATGAATATAGACAACAGGAACTTTTTTTATTGACGGATAATGCTTAACAGTCATGTACAAGTACATTTAATTTTAGTCTGTCAGTTCACAGTCTGAGAAGAACATCACAGCTTCATTTCCATACCATCAATAAAGAAGAGATATGTTTCTTTTCATATAATTTTGACTGTTTATCTTGTCTTCATGCTCTGTATGAAGACATTTCAATTATAGCTTTCTCCTATGATTTAAGTATAGTATAGAAAAGTATAGACAGAAAACTTAGAGCACTTTTCTGTGTATGCTAAGAAATACAGTAAGTGTGTCAAAACCTTGATACCTTTCCAACAACTATATTTTTTAATGTAAGATGAACAGGTTAACTATTTTTTGACAATTTAATTCTAGTAATTCTATGTACTCATGAAGCAATTGCTGCAGGAGATCATTATTGCCTTCTTTCTAAGATTAGACTTTTGCAGTCAAAAATAAATATTATCCAATTAGCGTACATTTTTTGCCCTATACCCAGGGCTATGTACTATTCAAAGAACACCTAAGCAGAGGAGTATATTACAGTGCCTCCCTTCTCTGATGACAGATATTTTGCTTTATTTATTTGTTTGTTCATTTTTAAACATCTTGTTTCTTTTTTCACAGTTTAGGGTTTCTTCCCTCAGATGTAGTCACCACAGTTTTCCTACCATCAATGTGCCCACAGTCCTCTACCAGCCTCCACCACACTCTCCTTTCTTCTATTCTCTGTCACCCTCTGTACCACCCTCTGTTCCCCCTCTATCTTCTCCCCCTCTCCTGAGTGTCTCAGACCTACTGTCTGCTTTCCAGAGTCAATTTTAGGGGTTTTCTTTGTCTAACCTTTATTTAGATTCCTAGATTCCTGCGAATCTAGTCTTTAGATTCAACGTATAAGGAAAATCATCCATTATTTATCTTTCTCCCCCTAGCTCACTTCATTTAGACTAATCCCTTCCAGTTCCATCCATGGCATGAGTTCATCTTTTTTTTATCTCTGAGCAGTATTCCATTTGCACATATATACCACAAATTCTTGATCTACTCATCTGTTCTGGGACATTTTGGTTGTTTCCATATCTTGGCTATTGTAAATAGTTCTGCTATAAACATATTTTTCTGGCTTGCACTTCCAGTATGATGTTGAATAGCAGCTCTTCCGATGTCTTCTCCAAATTCCCTAGTAAGGAATAGAACTTCCCTCTACTGTGTGTTTCTACTGCTGTATCCATAACTCCAACTATTACTCTTCACTATGCTAAACACTACTGCTGTATCTCCTATAGTCTGTGAGTTCTTGTGGAGGTACCTTGTCTTATTCATGATATCTAGCTCATTGTGTCATCAGTGGTATGGGAAGGATGAATGGATGCTAAACTAAAGATTGAAATGCACTCTAGGTTCATAGATTCATAGTTACCACCACTGTACCTAACAGAGTAAGTTGTACATTGATGATTCTAAGAATATGGAACTTCCATAGTATCTGATAAACCTCGCTTACTTTGCAGCAGTGAGAAAGTAAACTGAGCAAAGTACAGAAAACAATAGGAGCCTACTTGCTGCTTTCTAGTAGTTGGCAGTCCTCTGCTATCCAGAAAAATAAGATACCACAGCCTTTCTCCAGGCTAAGAGTGTAGCGTTAAATATTGTACCCAATATACAACCTAGAAAACTTAACTTTCCCATTCAATAAACCATATCATCATGGCACGACC